TGTTGATGATAAATTGTGTAGAACAAAATATTAGTAATTAATCATATAAATGTCATATTACATCATATAGAATAAACATTTTTGTTCAAAGAAATATTTTGTAAGAACATCAAAATGATATGATTCTTTTGTTTTTATCAATGTTTGAATTATTTCCATAATCGAACAATCCACTTTAAAAAGCAATTTTCATCTTTTATTAGCAGATGGATCGGGACAATCGTTTATGTCCCAATGTTACTAAATAATTCATACTTTTACTCAATGTTAATTGTCATTTTATATCACTAGATAGCTAAATTTTATCATAATTATACATATTGCTACATTAAAAGGTAGTGTTGCGACATTTGGCGGCAAGGGGAAAATCGTGCGACCTCATTAATAACACAAAATGGCGGATGCGACATTTATCGGCAATGGTGCGACATTAAACGGCATATGCGATATTTAGCGGTGTTGCAACATATAACAGCAACACACACAGTTTGGGGTTCAGGGTTTACACAGCAATCTCAAATTTCAATGTTTTTGTTTTAAATAATCAGTAGCAAAAACCCGATTCACGAGTTATTTTATTAAAGGTTTACCTTCGCGTATGAATATTTATAATGGGAGGTAATAATGTAAGGATCACATGGAAAGGTTTGAAGAGTAATCCTATACAAGTGGTTCTAACAGGATATACATATAACAAAGAACGAACAATATTCTACATACACTTTTAAATCAATATTTCTGTAGATGGCCTTACTTGAATATATTCACTGAACTAAGATATGCACAGCTAACGTTGTAACAATCTGTTAAAATATCGTAAGATTCATTTACTTACGGAATTTTATAATCTGACTCATTGACTGTAATATCTATAACTTTGACGATTGAACTCTACCTATGAAAAACATTACATCATGGGGCTGTTGAATATGTTATCTTCCTTAGGTCAGGTCTACCTTAAAGATAACACAGGTTGTTTTTCATTTCTTCTAAGATATGTCATTGGTCAGCAACGTTTTGTTTAATTCTATTTATTATCTAAGCGTTTTTTCTTCTTCTTTAAAACCAAAGTCTTAGTCTATGGATATTCATTACTCAAGATTCATTCCAAAAGGCAGGTCTTATTCATTACGCGTTTGTTTTTACATTTCGCATTACAGTTATTTGGCCATCAAACATTAAAGAACCTTTTAATAAGAAAATAATTCATCTTTAAATTTAAATGGTTTATTACATGCAGAAACGTTAGATAAGAATGATTTTAATCCAAGTCCCGGGTGTACATTTTACTAAAGACTCGCTTTGAGTGCTTCAAAGAGGCATTTCCGTTAACTATACCTTCACGGTATGGTATTATATACTGAATGTCTTTATTCCGTTAAAATATTTTAAACGGGAGATAATCAATCAAGGATTAATTAAAACTACTTGAAACTGTCATTAACAGTTTGTTATTCATGCTATTATGGACATTGAGTTATTTACAATGAGATTTGATATACAATACAATATAATTAGTTTTAATACCCATCTGACCGAATTTCAAAAAGTATTCAATATCTATTACTGTTCTTTTGATATTGTTTGTGGAAAACTATTACTTCTCGTTTAATTCAAAAGCTACGTGTATTAAAATCTGTTTTAGAGACCTTATGAATGATACTATTTTTAATAATTCAGAATCCATTAATATAATATTTACAATTTTTAAACGATTGAACACTAGTGATTACATTGCGATTGATCGCACGCTGTCTTGTATTAGGGGATATCTTCAAGATTCTTTATAGAAATCACAAATTGATAATTTTAAATGTTATTTATGACGAAAATTTAAAGCTTTTTTCCATTAGAAATAAGGGCTAGAACTGCTGAAATTGTTTTAGCTATAGCGCGGAACTTTCATTAATAAAAAATTATTTAGCATATCATTTTGTTTAAATCGCTAAATAATGGTATAGATATTTAAAGTGAATATGTCTTTAATAGGCATATTGTCTATAATTATCACATAAACCACAGTATAGGAGTGTAATAAAGCCATTTAATAAAAACGATATTACACTAGTGTAATAACACTTTGACGTGACGCCATTTGCGCTATGTTATATGTTATTTTGGTGTTTGAGTGAAATATGTGGATATATTACATGTCAAGATTTTATATCACCCTAGCCGTTAGACGAGGGTGATATTTTGTCTAGGCAGGTAATATATCCACATATATCACTCAAAAACCAAAACAATAATTTTATTACCCTTCCCCTGCCGAGTTAAGACGATAAATCATTGCTACTTGAAATGAAACGTCGAAATAACATTCCCTTTAGGGTACCCCTTCATCACTACATGACGTCACAAAAATACACGACGTATTTTCTTTCGAACCTAACGATTGTAAACAAGAAAAAAGAGTAGTCTGTTGAACGCATTTTTTTTGGAATTAATATCAAGCTATCACAAGGTCATATTTGTTTTCAATACTGATGAGAATATGTATGATTACTCTATTTTGGTAAATATTTATCATTTTACTGTTAAAAAATGCTTGTAAATTGGAATTTACATCGCGTAAAATCAAACCGTACGCGCGTCGCCACAGCGCATGTTTCGACCGTGGGGTACCCAACGGGGAAATCAAGTGTGTATATTACCCGTCTGGCTCGGTAATATCAATTTCTTTCGGATGATCAATATCCAATCAAAAAGGCGGAAAAAAATCTGGAAGGGTAATAAAGATACATAGGGTTAAAGCGCGCTAATTGAAAAACTACTCATTTTAACAGTTTAAAGTTCTTATTTTAAATATGTGATAAATAGAATATTATATTCGTGTAGATTCAGTATTAAATTTATTGAACTCGTTGAATAAAACAATAATATGATTTTGTTGAACTCGTTCAATATATTAGTATTAAACTTCACTCGTTCAATATCGTCTATTTACTTCAGATATTGATAAAAATATAATAAGAATATTCTTATTATGAAATGATGTTTTCCAAATTGCCGTAAAAAGATCTAATTGATATAGAATGAACATTTATATGATTAAAACAATTTATTTTTTTATTTTATTTTTATTATTATTTTCATTGTAGAACATTTTATTATCTGCTATAAAAATATGAAATATCCAATAATGTATCTCATCGTTTAAAAAAACTTAAAATTAATTTTTAATTATTTCACGGTTTATTATAATGTTAAATACTAAATACTATCTTAGTTATTATTCATTGTACTATAGACATTCAAATATAATCCAGTTCACTTTTAAATAAAGGGCAAACATAATGTGAGACCTTTCGAATATTTGACATAAATAATAATGCTTTAAGATTAGACACACGAACACTAACACGCACGCACACACACACACGAACACAAAGCAACTCTTCCTTTTTATAAACAAAAGAAAAAAGCCAATCGTTTGTGCAAACCCGAAAATAAAAATAATTTTATTAAAATCTAATTCGTTGCTGAAATATGCTGAAATATGCAGCATACCATTGTATTACACGCTGTACATATTGAATAACTTTTTAAAAAATTTAAGAAATCGCCTGCAATATACTAAAGTATAACAGTAAAGACAAGTAGAGATTTTGATGCTAAAGCATCAAGTCGCCGGATAGAAAATGACTGTATTATCATAAATATAAAAAAAATCAGTTTAATTAATGGTTCAGGTATAAAGAAAAGAGGAACAATTTATGTTGAGTAACTGTTTATTCACAATAAAACATCATATATGAAGCAAACTTGCTTAGCAATATTGTTAAGGAACTGCTATGATTATTAAGCAAGTATTTCGTACGTTAGTTTACGTAAGTTATTATGATTTATGCTAAAGATTTTATTGATAGTATAGATCTTGATATTAAATTAATTAATATGTGGTAAGTATAGGACGAAACTGTGACCTAGTAGGCCAAATTCGAATCTTTGAAAATCCCTTTTGCAGTTTTCATAAAACTATTTTTTTTGCGCTATCGAAGAAAATAAGCTATTTAGTTGAAATCAATATTCCTGTCGTTACATACGATATAGTTAACGTTTAATTGCCTTTCAGTTCGATAAAATATTAACAAAAAGATATTTTATTAGTTTTCATTATTATGTGTCGTACCGTTTTGGTAACCTGCGCGGCGGAAATCGACGGAATATAACGAAGACGACGATTACCACTATTTATTTCAATAAATGTGCCTCTTTAGCATAAATCTATTTTGTGATGTTCAACCTAAACTAAACTATTGAACATTGACAGAAAGGGCAAAATTTAACCCTTTACCAAGATAAAATGAAAAGGTTTTGAAAATTTATTTAATTCTTTAATGTACTAATCCTTTCTAATGATATAAAATATGAAACTGATTAATGAAAGATAACTTTTTAATTATTTATACATTTGCATCTAATTAGCCCCAACTAGTATGTCTTATCAGCAATCTGTTACTATTAATAGATTCTATAACACTAACATACAACGTGTAGTCACGTGATTCTTACAATAGAACAGGGAGAATCTGTTTATAATTAGATAAAATAATGAAATATAATAGGTGTCATAAGATATAAAACAACCAGATAATTTAAATGTGTCATTTTAAATATCATTCATGATTTATCAATCATAAAATAGCAACGCTTGACACTTAGAAAAAAGTAAAAGTATCCCTAAATTCAATGACTGGTCCATAGGGATACGTTATTAATTCATTTTATGAAAATTTCATTTAGCAACGTTAATTTATTTTTGAATTTTTAAGATTCTGAAAAATAATTGTGGTCCTTAATTGTTCAGTAATTGATTTGCTTTTATTTTCAGATTTTAAGGCCTTCTCCTACCATAGATATTAAACTGTTACACATATAGTCGCCGGTTTCTACCGGTGACTAATTATTATTGGCACAGGTGCCCGTATAAATGTTACAACCAATGATATTATTTCTACAGCAATAAGGAAGTACCCGTTTCATTTAAAATTTCTGCATGAATTAAGCTATTCATGTGCTACTTTGATACTCTCTTAGATCTAAGGCTAATATTTTGTTTAACATAGATACTTTAAATTTCTTAAAACTTTCTAAAAAGGGTAGTATATATCTTAAGAAAGCATGGAATCCAATCAAAATATTAGAAACAATCTTTTAAAGCAAAACATTGATCGGGAAAGAAATTCAAACATTGTCGGCGAAAACAAACGCAACGAATCAGATTATTCTTATGGCAGGGACCCGGATATGTTACAACAAGATGAAGAAAAAATCAAAAATAGACAGAAGGTAGAGTCTGCGTATTCCTATGGAAAAGATCCGGACAGTGGGTCACGTTTTAATAAAAAAAATAGACAAAAGGCGGAGTCTGCGGATTCTTATGGAAGAGATTATGACAATGGATTTGAAAGTGGATCACGTTTTAATAATACTAAAAATCGATGGATACCAGGTAGCAACAACCGACTTGATAATCAGAAGGAATTGCAAGATAAAGATATAACCAGTTCCGGAAAAACAATTCATTCGTACATAGAACTTAATGAACTTCCAATACAAAACACTACGAAACCCCGAAAGCAATCTAATAGGTGCAGAATAATTCAAGTTGTTGGTGTTGTGCTTGTCCTAGCTGTGCTTGGAGTAATAACATTTTTTATTGTGCGGAATTTTTCATCAAAAGGTATTCAAGTTTGACTTTTATTTCATTACACACCTATGCATTGTTATTATTTATAGATATTGTGTTACAAAACATCATAGCCATTTTTTAAGATTTTTTGGTCTATACTGTATAGTGATTTGATGAAATGAAAAAACGACACACTTATTTTCAAATATTATATTGATTAAAATTCTATTTTCCCCAATACTCAACGCGACTTACGCTAGGGTATGGACAGTGCCCTTACTTGTGTTGGCGTCCCTCCCGTGTGCCCTTCCTAGTTTGGCGTCCTGCTTGGCTCCTTGCCGATGGATGCGTTCGTTGAATGCCGTCCTTCCTCCTGACTTTTTATCATATTTTTAAACTGTGGTCGATACAAAATTCTTCCGATCTTGCCAGATTTGTTTTTCTTTGTGCCGTTATTGGCAATAATAAATGGTTAAATTTTCACTATTTTCTCAGGAAAAAATAAATTTAAAGGAATAATTATGCCTAGTTTCAAATTATTTTATAACTGAATTTAGTAGATTAACAGATATTACTTGCTTCATAAAAGGTTGGTTTGCACGGGATATATTTCTTTTCAATTCTTATTTAGTAAATAGTATTCTAACAAAAGTGTAGATAACATTAAGATAGTGGATAACGTTGCTATCCGTAAAATATCCCGAAAAATGTGATCCCTTGGTAGTTTTATTCTCGTTATCCATCTTTGTTATGTATGCTTTTAATAAATCCCAATTCAATTAAGATATATAAAACTTAAACATTGTAAATTATTTAATGTCAGCGGAAGAAGTCGTATGCGGTTTGAACGAAATGAAGGATCCATCCGGATCATGCAAACCTGTGGTGTGTGAGGACAATCCTGTAGTTCAAAACGGACTGGTAAATGTATTAAAAAAAGCGATCAACTCAACGGCAAAGTTACAGTGCAACCCTGGATTCATGGCAAATACAAATGTCCATTTTCAATGCATGTCAAACGGGTCTTGGATAAGTGATTCCGAAGCAGCGTGCTTTTTGCATCCATGCGGACCATACTCACTATCTGATAATGTTATAGTGAGCGAGGATCTAAGCCATATCAACATGTCAATTACACTGCGGTGTGCAGAGGGCTTTGATTTTAAAAACGAAAGTGAAAACCAAATTCAATGTGTAAACAATACATGGATAGGAACACCTGAATGTGAAATACCAGGTATATCAATTTAACTTTTGATTTGAAATATGCAGCATGCCTTAACAATTAATTCAGCAAATATAAGTGCTTAATGTGTTAAATGATCGATATTCATAATAGAGTTGGCAAATATGTTCTTCATAGAAGCGATAACTATCAAAACATTTTTTTAAAACTAATATTTATTCTTTATGTAGTCATGCGTATTTTGCACCTTAACATGTTCAAGTAAAGTTTCTTTAAACGTTCAACCATTAATATTAAAAATTTATATTCTTATTCATGTTCAAATCCGATGTTTACTACATAACTAATCCTTAACAAGTATGTTTTTATATCTATAAACATTTGTTTTGGACCTAGGTTCCAGTTAGAATCTTCGTTACTAATAAAACGTATGTTAATAAACACACGCAATACATACGGCTAATCCACTGGCATGCATTTGTTTCTATAATGTGATTTACAGGTATATTAACAACGGAGACAACAAGTTCTCCAGTAAACGTCGGGGATTCGTTTAATATTTTATGTCGCCTCAGAGAATCATCTAGTTGGCAAACAGTCATGGTATCTCGATCTGGCCTCTCAAATGATTCTGTTCCGAACCCATTATTCAGCATCACTTTCAACCATACCAGGGGTATACGGCATGGTGCAACCACTTTCCGGGAAAAAGTGTCAACTTTCAGTGATGGTGTCCACCTTCAGTTAACGTTTGATACAGCTAACTGTGATGACACAGGGGTTTACACATGTGCCGTGATTGTTGGTGATATACAAGACCCTACAGACATAAAAACCAGGTCGACAGAAATCAAAATGATAGGTAACATCTCTTTACTATCAAGTACTTACCATATTCATTTTCTTGTATTAATATTATTGATACCGGTGGTTCCTAATCTTTACAACCCGACTTATATCATATTTTGAAATTAGGTAAATCATCCTGTTTTAAAGCATACGAAATAAATTATCTGTCCAAATTTATCAAATACTGGATAAATAAGGAATAATGTTTGACAAATGATGCATTGGATCACATGATTAAACATTTTTGTTTCAGAAAGGGCTTCAAAAATAACGGAAATAATCGCTTCAACATCCTATGTTCAAGGAGACGATGCCAATGTTGTGTGCAAGGGACTCATTGGTAAAGATGAAAACGAGAAAAAAACACGGAGAAATATTTGTGAGAATATATTGGGTATGATCGTCAATTTTGTATTTCAAAGAGAAGAATATGCATTTTAAGATTTTATAACATATGGACGTTGTAACGTTGTTTGATGTAAATCTTGTTGTAATTGTATTTACACACTTACTTCGAACCCATTTTATAAATTTGATAAATTCCATATATACTTGCTTTGTAACTCTTTCAAAGACACGTTCGGTAAATTTATTCATTTCACACCTTAACAAATTGACCAATGCACTTCCGGCATTTTGTATCACGTGATCTTAATATCTAAATCATTATTGGGTGTTATTGAATCTCAAGCGAACAAATACAAGTTAATGCACATTGAAGACCACATAGGCTCGACCGTCACAAATGCATATTGTGCGCAGTAAACATATATGGGCGACTCACTAATTTTACTTTTTCTAGTCTAGTGCCGTTGATAAGGCAATATGCCTTTGTCGGAGGAAGAGCCAGTTCTTTCTTTTACAATGCCTAAGGCGCCATTACACGGGAATTGAATTCTTCAGTCTCATTGAAGAAATGATTGTAAGTTTAGTTTTGTGTAATGGGGTATGAAACTCGAGACCCTCACACTTGGTATAAGACAGGAGTACAATAAAACTACAGCACCCGATCAGTATTTACAAGACAACTCATGTTAGATCTTCCATACATGGGTAAGGTCTTTTTGGATGTTACCGATTCTGACAAAAATGAAAATATTACAGGGTCGGTTTGATTGGGCCTTTTCATGGACGGAAATGATATGTAAATATTACTCTCCACTCCCCTAACGCTTAAAATAATCTCACTTTTTAACATAGACTTCACAGACTCGTTGAATAAAAGTGAGTATTAAATGGCAGCTCATTACAAATACCCCTAAAAAACCCCGAAATGTTATAGTTTTGATAGGTATTCATTAGAATGTTAAAAGTGATATGTAATATTTTTGTATCTATGACTAATGTGACTTATTAGACGTAACATCCCCAAATCCGTATATTTGAAAATAACCAGAATTACTTTCATCATAACTATCTAATTCTGACAGAAATTACAATCAACCGCATTAACCTAATATAATTTGCTTTATTGTTTTAAAATTCTATATCAAATACAAAACTATCTCATATACTATAGTATATTTTGTGCTAGGCCCTGCTTGAAAAAGAAATACTGGTTGTTGATTTTTTGAAATGTGATGCCATATTTTAACAAGGTAACTTTAGAAATAAAACATATTTTATAGCCAATATTTTCAATGACAAAATCACGTTCGCAACTTTGTCCTTGATATTGTGTTGAAAATTTATTACTTTTTACTTTAATACTTTAGGACGAGGAAACAAGCAAGGATATTAACTCTGTCATTGATTCAACACATTCTTCCGGCTGCCAGGTTGATGAACTTGTAAATGCATCATTCGTTATAACAAATGATATGCATGGAGCTGAGTTACAGTGTATTGCTCGTGGTGATGATGGTAGTCGCGATAAAAAGAGTATTCTCTTGAATGTGACAACCACAAAAAGTAAGGGTACAAAAATTTAAAAATCGTTTGAAAGGATATACCCTTTAGCATTGCAATACTACTCTGTTTTTCCTTTTGATAATATGGTTCATATGATTATGGAGGTATTGTTCGTAAATTTAACAAATTAATTAATTAAATTTATTAAGTGAACTTACGATTCATGTCTTATCATTTATTTTATTTTTGTCATATCTTTATCGATTAGCTATTTCAATTGTTTCTAACATATGTTTTTCAATTTTGTTGAGGTCCTATTTATTTTCATCATTAGGGAAGCTCTTTTTTCGAAATAAAATATAATGTGGAATATTGTATCCTGTAAAACTGACAATAGAAATCTTTTCAAAATTCGGTGAATGAAGAGAGGTGAAATCGTAAACCCCTTTTTCCAGTTTAATCTTTTGTTTAACATAAAACCCCAAATTATAAAAATGGGAAACACCCATCGTTTTAATTTTTTATTTTAAAAACCAACTTAAAATTTGTAAGATTTTTTTTAACACGTTTCACATTTCGTGAGATACTTCTCGGGTAAACAACATGGGGCGATATTTTAGTTTTTTCTTCACAGCTATTTTATTCGAGGAGGGAGAAACTAGAATGCGAAAAACTTGGGCGGCACAAGATCGTATTCTAATACAAAAAATATGCCTCCAACCTGCCCATAGAAAACACATTGACCTATAGTAGTAAAAAAAAACCCAAACGACGAAGACGCTTTAAATTCAAAAAGAAGACGACAGTTGGGAAAAAGGGTGAATGAAACTTAGTATGTAAAAATTTGGTGAAGCTAGGTGAGGGATAAAAAATATAAATTTTAAAAGTTTTTTTATCTGCACTTAAAATGAATGTAATATCTTTGCATTTGTTTTAGTTTTAGTTATATTTTACACGAAAATAATTTTTTTGTATAGGTTCTTGTGTATTACGTTTTTTAGATAATGATTAGCTGGAGTTATGATTCTTGTAAATATGTTTACATTCAAAACATTTGCATTGACTTTTTACAATTCGAAACCTTATATTAAAAATAACATTAAGTCAGAATGGAAATGTTCAAAATCCGTAGAATGTTTCCAACTCTTAGCTTATAATAGCATAAAACTAACACATTAGCTGTTAAAATTTTTTATTATCTTTATGTCAAAAAGGAAAAGCAGTTAACTATTTTCCAGTGAATCCATCCGTCAGCTGTTTCTTACTCTAGGACAAGATAAGTTCTAACAAGGGACAAGTTGTGACTTTGATTTGTACAGGAACATTGGTGATACCCACACTAATAATGAGCATCATAGAAGATAGTGTCGTTTCAAAATTGCCTCCATTCAAGTTCAGAAATTATCTGAATCGGAAACATGTGAAAATGTTGAAACAATTACGCCATGAATGTGAAGTCAATGACGAAATGGAAGGTCGGTAGATATCAATGTGTTACCAGTTTACGAATGGAACTAAACTGTCGTCGAATGTAGAGATTTTTGATGTTACTGATCCCAAGTAAAAGTATTGTTCATGTAATGATCTATTTAATATATAAAATAATTTCATGTTACGAATTTTTAAAAACATGATAATCAAATATGATCAAAACTGAAATGAACACAATTGTTTTCTATATACCATAATGGATGACTTACACGGTGATTTCAGTTAAATTTTAGCCTTGGTAAATTGTTATCTGTAAAGAATTTCTAAATAAATCTTACATTTCAGTTTTATATTTCACTGAGGAAAAGCAAGACGGAAACCGTAGGACGCACCAAATCGATTCAATGTATCCTCACTGAAACGACAAATCTTAGCTACGTTGCCATCAGTAGGTTTTCTACCCGAAGAAACAACTATGTGAAGTAAACACAGCAGGCAATTGGACATGTAGCAATGAGTTTTCTGTGGATGGAACCCTGTCTGAAAACAGTACAGTTTTCACCACGACGCTGACCATACACACCGTATCGTGTATCAATGAAGTTATATACTAATGCAAAGCGGTAGGAATGAACACTTTAAAAAACATCAATGGATTTCAAAGTCATAGGTCAGCAAGTTATTTCTCGTATTTCTTGCATCTTTAAAGTTACTAACTGTTTTCTTTTTTTTCTAAACGAAAATCTTAGTTTCCAGGTCCTCGAATCTCCTTTTTAAATTGTTTTTGGTTGTTATAACCCAACAAATTACGTCATGGACTTATTTATGGTACTTTTGTTTGTACTTTTTGCAATTAACAATTTTTATCTCTTTATATTCTGAAGAGTTGGAGTATCGCTTCAACTGTCCTCTTTGCTGTTAACATTGACATTGATTTTCCTGACAATATAACGTTTAAAATGAGGCTTAAAAACATTGTCTCTTATCTGTTGTATAAATGAGTCATTCATACATTTTTGTTTTAAGCTGCACCTACTATCCCTAAATTAGGCCTCCCAACAACAATAGTAGAAGATCAAATGTCGCTATGGACGGAAATTTTAAAGTGTGCTGCATACCTTGGTTATCCTACAAATTACAGGAGGTTGAAAATCGAATATAAACCCAAAGGTTCTGACTCCTTCGAAGATTACATCACACAAAGTTCTGAAAATAAAAAGTGCGAAGATGTTTCCTCTATTGAAAAACGGCAGCACATTTTTCCGGTTAGCATGAACGGCTCGACTGTTCGATGTGTGGTTGCAGACGAAAACAATAATGTAATTGCATCTAGTGCCGAGAAAGAACTTCGAATCCTGAAGAGTACGTTTGCACTTTGATAGAAAATTAACAAGTTTAACTTTAATAGAAGGTTTACCAAGAACTATTAGTTTATCATTTGTTGGCGATTGAGATGAGTAAATGATTTGATAAATGTTTTATTTGATTTGTTACCACCCATCGTGGCTTACATTGTATGATTTGATTTATTGGGACAAGTAAGTCTCTCATTTCGCATAAAAATAATGCCCGTTATGGCTGAATTTTAAGAAATAACAAATCGTTTGAAAGTTGCTACAAAAGCGATATTATCTAAAGTGCATTATCACATCACAAGCTTTACTGAATCGTGCCAAAATTTCTTTCTATCTATATGACAACATTTAAACAATCAAGATCAGTTTAAGTGTAATTGTTCTCTAACTTTCTCGGGCATAAAACGATTCTAAAAGTTTTGTAAAGTGTTAAAACTGATACTTTCCGAAAAACATTCCTTGCGTTTATTTAGAATTCTGAAGACAAATAAAAAAGTGTTGCATATATATGTTATTATTCACCGACCAATGATAATTATGTAAGAAGAAACAATTATACAAATTGAAGCGCACATGGACTTTGTAGTCATCTCACGGCTTTAAGTAACGTTATGATGTAACTTTGGAATGCCTATATTTTTACTGCGTCTATATTTCAGCTCACTTATATATGCATCAAAGTAGTTATTAAACGTTCAATCTGGTAGAATCCAACATATACCCCTATCCAAGTAACAAATCTGGTCACACTGGCTTAATATTATTTCAATCACAAAAACTATATTTTGAAATCGTAGACCGTAAATCTAAAAAAAAAAAAACTTTTCAAAATCAAAAGCGCAAAAAACGTCACAAAAAATCTTCAGAATAAGGTTTAATTTTGACTTTGATAAATGACATTTGTTACAGTACTATTTGATGTATATTGTCTATGTTTTCAGATGTTTGTCTCGATGAAGGAACAGGACAGTATGACCCTCATCCCTATAACTGCAGTCGATACATTATATGTGTTAGCAATCGTTTATATGATTCAGAGTGTGCTTCAGGGTCTTGTTATCTGAGGGACGTAGACCCAATATGTCACAGTAGTGATTGTGCATCTTGTTGACCTAGTTATATGTGAAGTTTTCATCGAAAATAATTAATGAGTATTGGAAAGACATTTACATAGACATTGATGTTATTGATGCCAATTCAATTTTATTAACCAAAGTTAGATGTGATTCTCACAATTGATTGATAATGGTGTATTTGTATATGCCAATCTTGTACTTTTGAAAATGACTTAAACAAAATCGTGATATTTGGCGAATAACATAGTCATGATGATTCTGACTGTATATAGATTTTTTCTAAGAATTTTAAAGATTATTAACAAATCTTCTTTTGAAGATCAAATTTGAGGATATATATCAATGGTTTAAAGTGATTAAGTCAACAGTAAGCACATTATTATTATTATTATTTCAAGTATTGATACAAGCAATAGACATGTATCATAATGATATTCTTATGATTTGTTTGAGAGAGTTCCAGAGTGATGTAGTATGAACATATATTTGATATGATACAATTTTAATAATATGTAATAAATATATGGTAGAATATCATTGTGGTGAATAAAAGTTTGCTCTGATACGTGTGTATATGATATGTCATCAAATAATGCACCTAGCACTTATTAACAAGATCCATATATAGTTTCTGTTACGATTTTTGTTTGTTTAAAGTTTTTCCGGCAGCTTAAAACTCACTTTAAAGGACAAATAATTCAAAAATATGATGGTTGTCCGAAGGTTTCTTCAATCATTTGGTCATCTCATTATATTCTTTAATCGCTAACGTTTCAAAAAAGGACTTCATTCATGCTTGAAATGTTCCTGTTTGTCTTAAAGTTTGTAAAACGTAACATTAATCCCGGAACCGTCTTTAAATCATTGTAGCGTTAGGGATTATTTATTACATCTTTTATTTAACTTGTTCATCATCATCATCATCATCATTCTCATCATCTTTAACATCATCATCATCTCATAAAAACCTACCACTGTAATCAACATCTTTATCACCGTCATTACCATCATAAAAAACAGTATCATCACAACCATCATTTTCATCATCATCTTCATTATCATCATCATCAACATTAATTGTAAAAGACTAACATCAACAACATAAAGAGGGGCGTCCATGGCCGAGTGGTTAAGGTTGTTGTCTTCAAACCACTTGCCCCTCACCGCTATGGGTTCGAATCCCGACAGGGACTTTTGAATCTTTCATGTGAGGAAGTTACCCCGCTAGCTAACGGAAGGTCGGTGGTTTTACTTAGGTGCCCGTTCGTGCCTGAAATAATGCAAGGTAGGGCACCTGAGGTCTTCCTCCACCAGTAAAGCTGAAACGTCGCCAAATGACATGTACTGTGTCTGTGTGACGTAAAACCGAATAAAAACAAACAAACAAACAAACATAATAAAGCAACCTCTAAAATATGCTCAAGTCTAACAATAAATCGATTTCAATTACATGTATATCATACGGTTCTTATTTTTTTTTTGGGGGGGGGGGGCTGAATAATTACTCTTTTGGATAGCTATGCTCATACAACTCATTCATGTTCGTTTAAATTAAATACATTTTCAATCAATATCAAGTTGTTGTTTTTCAATGATATGGTGAGAAATTATCATTTTACGACGATAAATTCAGTGCGCCCCTTTTACTGTAATTACAGTTTTTATTTTATGTTTTTAAAGGAACTGTACTGAAATAAAAAAGAAAGAAATAAATAAATCACTAAAGAATACCCCGAAGAATTGAAAATGTTTTTTGAAAAACAAAAACAAAAAAAGAACAGTTCACTCACTAGTGATTACGCCCCACGCGAAAATTCTGATTTAGAAAAAACAACACATAGAAGTAGATTTCATCTCACACAAAAAAAGCCCAAATAAATACCCTTTACATTATAATCCAAAAGCCTTGCAAAACCCTCAAACATATATCCTCAACATAATAAAAGTTGAGGCCTTCCTTAACCATTAAGCTAATAATCTTCCTGGCTTGACATAATTCTATGACTATCCTGCAAGATTAAATACACAGATTCTGGAGTAAAATTTAAATTAAGCGACAGTCACCACTGGTTAAATTGTTACGTCATTCTTTAATTTTCTTTATTAGTCAGTGATTTACCTGTTGTAACATGCGCAGTTGAAAGTAATGCAAGTTGCCAGGAGAGAGCATGGGAGATGTTGTACTTTTCCTCGTCTCTCATCATTTTCGTGTATAAAAAGAAAGATATTGCTATAAACTAAGTCTACGATTTTCGCCAAAACACATCTTTGAATGATAAACGTATTGTTTTCATATGCGTGTATGTAAAGAAGCAAAATGAATCTAGATATGTCTTTACAACACTTCTCTTTTTCAATAAAACTATCTGGATCTGGACCGAGCAGGTAATAAAGCGGCTTTTAACGAGATCATGTTTTAACGTCTTGTGGTGGTGTTTGTATATTTCACTCCGGATCACGGCAGTAAGCCACATTGAGTTAACCAGAGCACAGTTTATCCATTTCATCGTTCATGGGACAGCTGTGTTTTCCGTCACTTTCGCAAGGTACTGATCACTTCTGTACATGCAAAAGATGTGGTACAGTGTAAATGACCATAGAAGAGATAACAATTTGTAAAAAATTGATTTATTGCATCTTGAATGCAGTCATTATATATCAATGAATAATTGCGGTTTTTTGCAGGGATGGTAATATTACGCTCGTGTGATTATTACACAACACCGGGTGTATATATTGAGGATAAACATTGAACGTAAGATAGATAGAGTTTATTGTCACAAGATAAAGATTGCACGCTGATATTATTTTCATTTGAATGGTTTCAATACAAAATACTTTAGAATACAAAGAACGTATTCAAAATACCCGGTGCTGAATAAAGAATATAATGAATCAGGATAAATATATAAAAATCGTAGTACGACGATCATGAATTTAAGCGAACGTACTTGTACATGTAATTTTAAAGAGTGAAAAATTAATTAGCCAGTAAAATTTATATTGTCTCTTCTGTTATGGAGAAACTCAATCACAGTCTTCAGTTATCATTTTCAAGTTGCCATGTGACAGTTGTAAACAGAAACATAGTAAAGTGCAGGCCAATGCATAACATGATTAAAAACACTGATTACATACAATAACTATGAATGAACCGTTTATAATTCTATTTCACGACTATCAACTAAACGGTTTGTTAATGGGTTATGGCACAACAAATTTTGGCAATTGGACTCCACAATTCACAGTTTATTTTTCGCCTTCGTAATAAGCTGAGAAATCAGAGAAAGATTAAGCAAATATAATGGTTATAAAGCAAATCGATGTAAACTCTGTCTGTGTGTGTGTGTTTTTCTCCAAATTATCTCTTATCTTAAACTTAATTGCAGGCAACAAATAATAAGCAATCTGCAATGATAAACAACTTCTGAGCTTTTTTTTCTCAAAATGATTGTTGTATCAGTATATTGAAATATAAAAGAAAGCCTTAAAGTTTATAAGTTGTTGCTGGTACAAATTGTTTAAGTTAAAGTGACTTTATGCCCATAAAAGGGTATTTAGTGAATGAACAGGTGAATTTTTTTTTAAGTTTTCATTTTGCTTTCCTTTCAAGTTTAGTGCATTTCTTCATCAATAAGCAGACGGATTTTGTATTTCTATATAAACACTGTAGGCATGACACGTTTTGATGATTCAAAATGCGGTTAGATCTGCGAAATGAATGTATGTTCACGTGAATATAAAGTAAATAGGAAATATGATACGGGTATATCACATTTCGTAGACACAAATATGTTATTGCATTTATAATACATTCATTAAAATATTCATAAACCATCTATACAATATGTTGAATGATTAGGCGAAAAAGGTACGATCGGGTGCATTCCCTCCAAATACCTGCATTCATCTGGTTTTGTGAGATATTTGAATAACTGCATCAATGTATCAAATAATAAATGTGGTATAATTTCGGATTTAAAGTCTTCCACGATACAATGTCAATTTGTCCCCCAATAGTAGCTGAATGTCCACTGAAGAAAATGTCTGAAAGTAAAAAAAAAACTTGGTTCATAATATAGGAATAATATAATATCATTTAGGCACAAAAATTAAAGAAAAAAGTCAACTCGTGTCAAACTATCGGTGGCACCGCCGTGGACGATAACTTGCATATATCGTAACATTTCATAAAGAAGCCAAACTGAGTCAGCCACATTTTCATTTTTACCGTTCAGGCGTTCTTTTATACTTGTTTTTAAATTCATATTACAAAAGCAATAGACGGTGTAATGTATGCCGATAAGCAAGTCAATATAGTTTGAAATGCAATATTAACTGACGCCACGAACGTGTGTCCTTCAAGCTCTTTAAGAATTTTTACAGCTTATTAAAAGCACATACTTCAGACGACCCAACCATGCTTATGCTTATATTCATGAAAATCATAAAGTTACTAAATATAATACTTCAGGTGTTCACTTCTCACTAATGTACCACATCTCAGGTATTTTAATGAATAAAATTGCTAATAAAGTTCATGAAAAACAAACTCTTACGATGTCTAGATAGAAGGCGAAATTGCCTGAGACTTTTCTACGGCCAGACTTCTCTACAAATCTTACGAACCAAGTTTCGCACGGCCGGTGTGATAGAGACTAAATTATTCAAAGTGTCACCAAGTTATCACTATTACCTCTTAACAACCTCTTGATGGTGAACACGGAATGCATGTTTGAGATTGATCGTCATAGCATGCATCCAAAACTGAATTAAAGTGATTCTTGTCATCACAAACGAGGAAATGTTCGCAGTCATACGGGTACCGTACCTGACTTTTACAATTCCATAAAGTATCATTGCATTCCCTCAAAATACCTGCAAATCATCTGGTTTTGTGAGATATTTGAGTAACTGCATCAAGTAATAAATGTGGTACAATTTCGGAACCGAAAAAGTTAAAACAAAAAATTCACAGTGTTTTCTGGTGTTTTAAAACAAGTCGCCAAAGATCTTTATTTTCTATTTAGAAACTAAGAGGGAAAACTGACCAGCTGAATAACAAGATTAATATCGTGCCGCAAGACACATGTTGATGATATTTCTTCTTTTCGGTTCATTTCTTTACTATTTTTGGAGCTGGGGTAAAACCTGCAACCTTATGATTACTGAACTAGCACGTTTGTTCAGCTAAGTGCTTCGATATACATGTAGTGGGATGGCCCATAATAATGTTGTAAAAACTTTTGGCCAAACCCTTTTGTATATTGTGATATTTGTTGTTGTATATTGATATATGCAATAAATATTATTTAACTAAGGTAATGTGGTATGTTGTCATGCAAACATTTTAATACATATATTTTCAACAATTCAGGTCAAGGTCTATAACGTCTTCTGACTGTACATCTCCAGTTCCTTCAGGACTACATCGATATGTTCCTTTATCAGTACACAGAAGAAAGTCTACATGTATTGTGATCTTTCCATGCGTTTCATTAACATAAGTCTGATCCGAATTTGTGTTGAAATTCGGTATTCTAGTATTATCTCCTGATTTGATCGACGATACAAACTCTCCATTAGCCCTTGTGATCTTGATGTCAGTAAGCCATTTAAAGTCTTCCACGATACAATATCAATTTGTCCCCCAATAGTAGCTGAATGTCCACTGAAGAAAATGTCTGAAATTTAAAAAGAAACTTGGTTCATAATATAGGAATAATATAATATCATTTAGGCACAAAAATAAAGAAAAAAGTCAACTCGTGTCAAACTATCGGTGGCATCGCCGTGGACGATAACTTGCATATATCGTTACATTTCATAAAGAGGCTAAACTGAGTCAGCCACATTTTCATTTTTACCGTTTAGGCGTTCTTTTATACTTGTTTTTAAATTCATATTACAAAAGCAATAGACGGTGTTATGTATGCCGATAAGCAAGTCAATATAGTTTGAAATGAATATTAACTGAAACCACGAACGTGTGTCCTGCAAGCTCTTTAAGAATTTTTACAGCTTATTAAAAGCACATACTTCAGACGACCCAACCATGCTTATGCTTATATTCATGAAAATCATAAAGTTACCAAATATAATACTTCAGGTTTTCACTTCTCACTAATGTACCACATCTCAGGTATTTTAATGAATAAAATGGCTAATAAAGTTCATGAAAAACAAACGACCATATTCTTAAGTCAGAACATTTGCAATGTAACAGAATGCAGGAGACCATGCGCATGGGCTTTTATTGCCAGACAATGGCAGATATTCGGTCAACCATCACGTACGGCCTCTATCACATCAGCCCTACGACAGCCGTACGAACGGATTTTGACTAAAATCGCTGTGTTTCGTGCGGGAGCCGCAAGACATTTGTACAAATTCTTTAAGACCTAAGACCTTCTTTGTCCTAAGACCCAAGACAGTCATACGGCAGACGCACGATTTCTAGAGGTGCTCGTGTAAAAAAATTTTGGGTTTGTCTTTCGAGGACCGCAGGTTTACCGCACTAGGATCTTACGACTATGGCAAACCGAACTCTTACGATGTCTAGATAGACTGCGAAATTGCCTGAGACTTTTCTACGGCCAGACTTCTCTACAAATCTTACGAACCAAGTTTCGCACGGCCATTGTGATAGAGTCTAAATTATTCAAAGTGTCACCGAGTTATCACTATTACCTCTTAACAACCGCTTGATGGCGAACACGGAATGCATGTTTGAGATTGATCGTCATAGCATGCATTATTGTCACAAGCTCTCACTTCCAAAACTGAATTAAAGTGATTCTTGTCATCACAAACGATGAAATGTTCGCAGTTATACGGGTACCGTACCTGACTTTTACCATTGCATAAAGTATCTATAAAATAAGAAGTCAGCAATAAGAAAAAGTTTCTGACATACAATATATGTAAAATTAGTAGTGTACCAAAACAAATACCAGACTTTTACCATCGTCAAATAAGAAGCAACAATTCGAATTAAATAAAGGTTTCTTATCATGTTTGAAAAAAATGGAACACATACATTGTTATTCTAAATATGTTCAGAAGAAAGTAAAACAAAAACAACCATAAAGGTCAAAAATAAACATAAAGTCACCTTGTATAACTTTTACAACGCCACTGTCAGATGTGAACACTGTTTGGTCATATGCTTCTTCTGACGGTTTTGCAGTGCATCTAATATGTTTCCTGTACCATTCCATTGAAATATTTTTTAGGCAAAATTTCATTTTCATCCTATACCAGCAATTATCCAAGTCAAACCTTATGGTATCAATCCACGCCGCATTTGTATTGCTTACACCGTTTGAAGAGGACCAAACATAAGGCCCCTCACGTGAAAAAAAATATCGGCCTTTTCCATATATAAATAAGACTAAATTCTTATTAGTTCATTAATGATGGGATAGTAATCAATTTGATTTGTGGTAATAATGTCATGCAGATAAGACGGGAAAAGCACATAAATATTGATTTTATAACAAACATTACTGAAATTATTGGAGTTGAAGTTCCCTGAAGAAATTGAAAATTATCATAATTACAACACTTATTTGACATAAAAATAAATGAATTAATTGTGATTTAAAAGATCTGTCAAAAAGTGAATTATTATTCATATCTGATTAATTTTATAACCGATTGGTCAATATTAATGATTATTGATAATTGTGATTATCAAATGTTTGGAGAAGACAACAGAGTGGTAAAGGAACCATCATTGCCAGTGTCAATTGTCACGCGACCGTTCGGTTCCGGAAACAACATTTCACAATGAAAAAGTGTGGACTTGATATCATCTTCGACAACTTGGGCTGGCACGAAAAGCTCCGGCTTAACCGCTTTGCCTAAGGGATAAACATTTCCAAAAAATTATTATATCAAAAGAACACGCTACTTTTTAACGAACTGAAGGTCTAAACGCATAAGATTTGAATTTTTTAAAAAGACTCTTGAAATTTCAATTTTTTGATACATTTTCACATTTGAATAATCATAACGGTAAAATGAAGTAATCGAAAAATCTGAAACTTTGCATACAAGTAACTTGTCAAGACCTTCAACAAATAGAATATTTATCTCAAAAACATTGTTTCCAGTCTCGTCATGTAAAAAAATCATCAGTGAAGTCCCTTAACCCTTACCACGCTTAATGTGTTAAATAAATGTATCAATGTACATTGTATACAATAAAGCAGAAATATATTTTTCAATTGAGAAGGATGATTGTAAATAACTAAAAATAGGCTTAAGGCAGTCGATGCTTTCTTGAAGATTTGTTACTAACAAACACGTTACATGTAAGGCAATTGTGCACTAACTTATTACTTAATTATGTTGTGTAAGATTAAAAGAAGTTCTATAACAAATATTACCTTGTATTCGAACAATTTTCACATCATGAAATGTGTTCACGGTATCACTTGTTTCAATATCACAGGTTATGTTTATAACACCGGGTTCTACGAAAGCATCGGAGCATTTGACGGTCTCAATCATCACTTTAAATGTACCTGATTCATGCGTAAATGTTTTTTCAATGATAATAGTTCTATCACTGTCTTTAGTCACTTTGTACGAGTCTATATTATTGACAACAGAGGCAATTATTACGGATTCACTTTTTCTGTTAATGCGTTTGAACTTTATATTCCTCTAGTTTGGTATTTTTCTGAATTCACAAGACAAGGTTGCCATTCCAAAGATGAAGACAGTATCGGTGTCTACAGATAAATCAACTGAAACATACAATCAGTACAGATGCAAAGAAAAACATACATTCTGTAGTAAAAATAACCAAAGGAGGAAACATTGAACGTCGACCAAAAGGGAAAAACTTGAGAATAATACAGGCCTTGTTTGTTTGTGCCTGTTTAAAGACGTTGCAGCAAATATAAATCACATTTAATAAAAACAATAAAAGGAATCATTATGTTACAAAAGTGAACAACCATTTTAAGACGAAAATTGCAATATCTTACCTAAATTTTCACATTTTGGATTACCGACCCACACGCCATTTTCGTTACACGTTACGGAATTATCACTAGATGTTGTAAAATGGAAACCAGGATCACATTGAAGATTAATTGATGACCCAACTGTTGTTTCATGTACGGACTGTTGAGTATGAACATGGTAAGGTGGCTGATATATCCCGCAGTCAACTGGCTCACACGTATTTACTTCACTCCAAGAGCCCGTTTCTAGACAAATTGCCGTATCTATTTCGTTTACTTCAAAACCTTTATTACATGTTATCTTAACAGCCACTTGTGGTAACACCTCCTCAGTAACATTGGCATGGCCGTTGGACAAATTTGGGTATTTTTTTTACACTTTGTTTGACATCCATGCAGTCACACACGTTGGCGTTCTCTGCAATGTACGAAAAATAAGATTTTTTTATTCAATTGATGAATTACGATAATTCATTTTCGTTGTCTACTATTATGGTATACAAATATAAAATAGAGACAAACAGAATCCTAAAGAAAGTCCAACACGACAAAAATTTTGCAGGCTCGATTTGATCACGGATTTATATTACAAGGATCGGACACTTTCGTTAAGCTTAAAGTCCCGTCGCGCGCATGCACAGAATCGGATAAAGGTGGACAGAATGAGATGGCAGAACGCGCAGAGTGCGAAATATGACAGATTTTCACAAGAGTATGTGGTGTTATTGCAGCTTTGTGAAAAATTATACACATATGAATGTATTGATACAGCATTATTTTGTGTCGCTAAAGTATTAATATATGAAAATATGCCGATAGAACGTTGCAACGCTTAGTTAAAAAGTACCTAATTTAAAAAATATTCGACTATTGTTTAGGCATACCCTCTATACTTTGACGCCCTTTTACTTCAAGCACGAATTATTACCGCGATTCAGAATAAGATAATTATTTTTCAAATGGTTTAATGGTGGCATTGCAAAAAAATGTTTCTTGATTGCTAAAAAACTTTTAAAGAAATTCATGTTTGAAATGTGTCTTTATTTCTGTGTAAATAATTTCCAAATGATTTGTACATTTTTTATTTGATTACCTGTATATTAGTATAAATATAGTAAATATTCTACTAATTTGTGTATTAAATATATTTTCAGATCAGTCTAGACAAACAGTCATATACAGATGAATTCGTTAGATTGGCAAGGAAGAAACTTTTATTGGCATACAGAACATAGTTATTCTTTACAATTCACGTAAAATGATTTATTTATCACATGTTTATTTTCATTATTTTTCAAAGAAAGGACTATACAAATTTAGTTGTATATTTTCAATTTCATTTATAAATGTTAAAAAAGAAAATAGATTTACATTGTATTTATATATATCCTCTTCAGAATCATTTTCTTAGCACACATGCCATGGACTGTAGTTAAAGACCGCGCACATACAAAATATACATTCAAATACTATTTGTTTTTGAAAATTGAGTGTTGCAATTATCACATGTAACCTGGTAGTGAAAGTTTGAAAATAAAGTTTTTTAATTATCACTCACCCCTTCAAAAGTAATTAAACTTGAAAGAATTTAAGCGATGTGTAAAAAATAATCAAAAGTTACTTTTATTTCGCAAAATACTTACTCTAACTGTCAAGATTTTTATTGTTTTTCTAGCGTTACATTAAAAAGTATCATAAATATCTTTCCACGGGCATTCAAATAAAAATAATAATTAAAATATACGGATTAAAATATACGAGTGACATTACAAAGGTCGGAATCGAGACAGCCATACGAGAGAACTTTACTGTTACGACGATTGTCTACTTCACTGCACCGACATTTGAAAATAGATTTACAAAAAATAATATTGATATAAATGAATGAAATTTAAATATTCTATGAATATGGCAATATTGACAATCTCGGCAATAGTTTGTACTTAAAAAAAGTGAATAAATTTTCTTCACGTGTTGAGCGAATTGTAAAGGCCGCAATACATTACCCGTAAAACAAGTGTGCGTTAATAAATTTGACTACATAACCCCATAAATCTTTAATATTGCACTCTTTGATCATCTGTGAAAACTTACATCGGCTTCTTTTTTATTTTGAAACTGAAATTATTATGGTACCGTAATAATAAATTTCAAATACCTGCATTCTTTATATAAAAAAAAGGAAAATTTACCGCGGATTTTCGTCAAGTTAATTTTTTAATCGTCGTGCGGACAGATAAACTGTACCTTTAAAAAAATAAATTAGATATATTTGAATTAACAAGTTTTTTCTTCAAATAAACTTTAAATTTCCAAAATCAGATAATAAATGGAAAGCTGTATGGTATTTTGTAAAGTAGGTATCCGTTGCGAACGGGCATTTACGCTTAGCACCGGTAAATTATCGATCGATGTACCTTTATCGGGCGCACGACAAGATATTTAAGCATTTATATAGGGTTAACTGGGAGTGTCCGATCCCTGTAATATAAATCCGTGTTTTGATTGAGCCTGTTCATGGACGGTATTGAAAAGTGCAAGTTACCGTCCACGCCCCTTAGCACCGGCTTAAGCAGAATTTAACATGAACTGGTACAATTTTGAATTTTGAAACATGCACAGATGTGTTCATATGGCGGTTATCATGGAACCTTCAATGTAGCACTTACAATGTGGCACGTAAGTGCCATTCCAAGAAAAGCGGCATGTGGTCCCAAAGAAAAACATGCGTGTGCCCTAAACGAGAAAACAATAGGCAGAACTAAATAAAATGGAAATTTAAAAGGGGATCAGAGGTTATGAAGCCTGCATATCACAGATAAGACGTCAAAAGGCAAAATTAATTTAAAAAGCAGGCCTAAGGATGATTTAACAGTATTCAAGGCAAGAAAATAGCCAAATAGAAAAAAACTAAATTACCACAAGTACAGCAATAATGTCGTACTGAACGAGAATCAAGGATAAAAAATTAAAGCAAAATTAAAAATAAAGATCAAATTTTCTTTTTCTGTGGTATATTAGGAAATGGTTTGAATCGGTTTGTTTTAAAAAGCGAACATATAGTTCACTTTAATTTCAAAATATTAAACTTGTAATCAAGTCGGAAAAAAAGGTGACGCGGTAGTATAAATAATGAAATTTGATTTGAAAAGGTTTATATTTTCTTAATTCTTAAGAGATTTAATTCAAAATTCGTTTATATGACTACTTGATTAGTATAATCATTATAATTATATTACTATATAAATGTATTTCATATCACAAAAAAACAGGAGCAAGTCAACAACAACGTCCATACATAAAACATACATAAAAATTAAAGGCAATGCCTTTAAGAATGTTTGGTTATCTCTTAAATTTTTCTATTAAAAAGGTATATTATAATTTTAAATTGTCAATAAATAGGAAAGTCTAGTTACCAATGAAAAGATCAGAACAAAATTTTTACTTGGTTTTAAAAGAAGTTTCTATACAAATACAAAATATAATACATTTTAATTGACATATCACATGAACCTGTATTACATAAATTACTGAAAATGATGGTTATTACATGTGAAATT